GCCATGCCACATGCCATGTCCTGCCCCACGCCGCGCCCCGCGCTACCCAGCTCCCGGCAGGGACCCCTGGGGGCGGGACGGCGGCTGCCCACCATCAGGGAGACGAGCTCCGCGGGCCGGGACCGCAGCGTCTCCCTGGACGGCCTCAGCCGCAGCTTCACGTACAGCTGGGTCATGACCTTGCGGGCCAGCTTCTGGGAGGTGGCCAGGGCCTTCCACAGGAGCAGGACCTGCCTGGGGCAGGAAGCGGGCCCGCACTATTGGCCACCCTGGGCCCAGGCCGGGCAGCAGGTGGCCTGCGGGGGGGCTGGCCCTGCCCGAGCAGCGCCCCCCAGGCTGGGGCCCTGGAGGCTGGGCCTGGTGACGGGCCCAGCCCTGAGCAGACTCTCCGCCCCGCCCCCTGGGCCGCGCCCCCCACACCAGCCCTCTAAGCCCTCTCAGGTGGGGGGTGGCGCCCAGGAGCACTTGCGGGGACCCCTGGGATGGGCGCGGGTGCTCAGGGACCCCGCTCCCGAAGACACCCTGTCGCTGTCCTGGGGGCCGGGAGGGCCGTGGGCAGCCCCAGATCTCCAGCACCGGCCAGAGGCCGGCTCAGCGGGACAGACAGCGGACAGATGGACGGGCAGACGGATGGACAGGCAGATGGACGGACCGGCGGCACTTCTGAGCGCCCGGGGTGCGGCCACTCTGGCCAGCTCTGCAGAGAGGGCCTGGCTGGGCCTGGGGCCACACCGGGGTCTCCGGGCTGGTCAGGACGCCCGTGCGGCGGCAGGCCCCCCCCACCCCGTGCCAGGGCGCAGGACCCACCAGTCCGCCGGCCGGTCCAGCGACAGCAGGACCTCCACGGTGTCCCGGGTGTGCTGGCTGCCCAGCATTGCCAGCGCGCCCAGCATGGCCTCCTGGGTGCTCTTGAAGAGGACACAGGGCAGCTCCTGCGCCAGCCCATGCAGGGTCTCGGCCACCTGCGGGCGGGGGCGCCTCAGAGCCTGCCGCCTCGGGCCTGGGCCCGCCTCCCC